GGAAAACTTACGTGAATTCTAGCGTCTCCTCAAAATTACGAAAATGAAGATGATTAAAAACATTTCTTGAGATGAACAAAGCCCCAACACTTTTTCTCCCTCCCCCACCTCATCCCTGAGTCCTAGGTCACTGGTCCAGGGTATCTGTTTTGCCAGAGTATGATCAAGATGTTTGTATGTTCTTACAGACACCAAAACGTCTCCCTGACATCTGAGCAATGCTTTACTGCTTTTATAATCTAAGTTGATGAGAGACACCCCCCCACCCCGCAGCAAAGCTGAAATGGAATAAAGCCAGAGAGAAGGAAATACAGCTAAGCCTCTTTTTTACATGGCTCTACAGCCTGGCTTATTTTGGCAACCTCAAAAGAAAGACCATATAAGTGTACATGGAATTTCCCAGTTTCTGAATAAAAACTTAATTATGGTTATTTCTAACTAGACACTTGAAATTTTTCACTATGGCTAACTTAAACCTATACTTCTGGCAGGAAAGGGACATAGACAAACTAGCAAGGAATGAGATATATGTACAGTCTTGATCACAGAACTAAAGAACAATGGCTTCAAAGGATCACACTTGGGCTCCCTGGGTGCCTTAAACTTCTTCAAACTGGCAACACAGATCACTTTTCTCATCTATTTCTTGATCTCTCCATTCCCCTTTCCTCCTTCTGTCCCTCCCCTCCATGGCAAGTGCTCTCCTGCTGAGCTACACCCACCCCTGATCTCTATCTCTTGTAAAGAGATACTGATTAGGACAGAAATACCTTACATGTGTGGCATTACCATCCTCTGAGTCTTCTTATAAGCTGTGTCACTGTCCTAGCTCTACAGGTCTATCTTGCTAAAGTCAAACTGTGAGTTACTAAAAAAGTTTAAACTAGGATTTATTCAGTTCTTGTACAGAGTAGGTATTACTAATGTTTACTGAATTAATGTCTCCCAGAAGCTATTTAGTCATGTCTTAAAATTGTATTTTAACCAGGATTGTTTCTGATTCCATGTGGGTATGAACCCAGCAGTGAATGGAGAGAGAGGTACTTACTGACAAGTTGGCTTCTCCTTTCTTACTCCCCTGTTTTCCTCCTCTTCAAATCACAGGGCCAAGGGCATATCAAATTCCTAGTACAACCCCTGGACTTCAGCCTAACCTAGCCACGAGGAAAGCATTTCCCACTGCCTGTTCTACCTCCTTATTCTAGAACCAGTGGGCTAGGCCAAAGGACACACAGTGTATTGGAGAAGGAGGGGCTGCTAGAGACATGTTACATACCTTCAGGTCTACCTGCATTCATCAGCTTAGGGACAACTAAGGCTGGGGCCTAAACCAACATTAAATCTCAAAAATTCACCCAATGAATTTGGATCGTAGCATTTGCCTAAATTAGAGATAAAAATGAATAGGAAGTATGGTCAGGATGTCCCCAACCTAAACTCAAAGAAGTAAACATAATATTTGAGTTAAGTTCCTTAGAAATTAACTGTAAGTATGAAGAGCTGCTCACTCATTCCAGCCAGCTAGATCTCGTTATTTTCTAGAGGCAGCTCCAGTAAGCCCTTGGGAGAACAGGCTTCAGGAACATAGACAGAGTACGAATCCAATATGCTGGCATAAGACAGTATTCTGCCCCTGGCAGCGGCACCAGGGTGGTTTTTGAAATGACACAGTAATGAGACTTAAGAGGTCAAGCATACTGTACAGGTGGCCTAACATCAAAGCTTCCTGCAGCAGCACTAAAAGGCCATTATCTGTGTTGTGGCTTGTGTCTAGATGTCCCCTACAGCCTCATGCACTCTTTTCTGAAGGTAGCTAAATCTGGAATATGTGACGCTAAGATTAAGGGTGTGTGATTACTAAACCACTATACCTGAGTTACTGGTTTGGCACTGCCCTAATCCTGGTAGTCTGAATAAAATAAAAGGAGCAGGACGACACTGTTAAGATTCCTTGTTACCTTTACTACGCCTGTTTGCTATCCCTGCCTTGGAGCCAGACAATTACAGACTGAAACCTCTATGAACTGTAAGCCAAAAAAGAAACCTTTTCCCCTTTAATTTTTGGTGGCTGGTATTTTGTCTCAGCAACTAGAGAAAAGTTAACTAACACAATCTATGAATTCCTCTAAATTCTTCTCAAACCTTTTGGATTTGCATCACCTCGTAAGGCAGTAACTTCTCGAATCATGCCACTAGTTTTGTAAAGAAATGCACCTTATATTCCTATTAAAGATGCCCTTTTTTGGGCCGGGGATTTAGCTAAGTGGTTCTGGCGCCTGCCCTGCAAGCACAAGGTCCCAAGTTCAATCCCTGGTACCAAAACAAAAACCAAACAAAGATGCCCTTTTCAAATTTCAAAGGTAAAGACATACTCAGATATTCTAAGATTTGGCCAGTTGGTTCCAGTTCCAGTAACTGCTTTTTACAAAATGTTTAGAAGAAGAAATCTTTAAAGAAAAACAAGAAAAATTAAAAACCCACAAATTACTGCCCCCCACACTTATTTTTTTGGTAGTACTTGGAACTGAAGGGCTTTTCACTGAGCTACATTTCAAGTCTTTAAAAAAAATTTTTTTTTTTTTTAATTTTGAGACAAGGTCTTCCTAAGTCACTAAACTTCAGTTCCCTGCCTCAGGCTCCCAGAATGCTGAGATTACAGGTGTACACCACCACACTTGGCTCATAATTACCCTCTTGAGAAATAAGGACCCTGACTTCTCAAAACTGTCTTCTTAAAAGATGGTTAATTGTCTTCTTAAAACAGCTTCAGTCATAATGGTGTCCATAGGAATTACTTCCCTTTTACCATGTTACCTTTAGTGGTCAAAGAAAACTAATGTAGAAGATGACTGATACAAGAAAGAGACTAGAGCGAAGCACATACAGTGGTGGCAGGATGAGGGAGAACTGTGCTCAACCTGGAAGCTCAGGGGACCCTGGGAAAAGGGAAGCTGGAATGAGGCACTGATTTGGGACCAGGTGTTCAGCTTTACAACAGCCCTGGAGGGAGGGTTATCACCCCACCGGCCCCCTTTCTCCCCTAACATGGAAAACAAAGCTGAAAGTGATGGGCTCTTGCAATGGTACACAGATCTGGATAAGAACCTGAGTATGTCATCAACATCTCTGTGATATTTACTACTCTGAACTCATTTCAGGACACTGACTAGTTATCATTTTGGGATACTTACTGGTCAGTAAAGAAGAATGCAACTTTAAAATGTACAAGGACTTGTTTTAGATCTGGTGGAAAGTCCCTCTGATTCCATTTAACTCAGCCCACAGTAAAATCCACGAAGCCTAACACCAAAAGCTCAGAGTAACTCTCCACAACCGGCTAAGAAGCAGATTACTGTTCTCACTTCTGATGGTTATTAATGTAAGACATCTTAAATGTAAGAGATCTTTCTCATCTTCAACCTAATGACATTTCTTATTAAAAAAAAAGTCATGATAAAAAGTCCTAGGCTAAACCATTTCTCTTTGTGACTTTGAAGCTGAAACTTTATGGACCTCCTTTCCAACCAGAATATTAGTCTCTGAAGAGGTATTCCTGCACGATATCTTGACACTGGACCACATCAGACCTTAATGCTCATTTGCCTGTGCCTAATTCTCTATACACATTCACTTAGAGCCCAAGGCTGCCCGACAAACATTTTCAATTCTATTTCATCACGATATGTACAAAATAGTCTTTTATACTATACTGTGCCTGAATTAGTACCATCTAGTTTTGAAATACCCTTTTATGCCACAGCAGGTGAGCTTTTTAATTATGTTTTGGAGAATCTATGGCTCTAATGACTAGAATATTAATCTATATATTTTCTGCATAGTCTTATAATATGCCTTTTAAAGTTCTTTATATTATTTTTAAAAATTAAAAAGCTGGGTTTTTTTGTTTTTGTGTTTGAGATAGGGTCTTGTTATTTTGCCCCAGCTGGCCTCAAATATGTGATCCTCCTGCCTCAGCTTCCCAAGTAGCTGAGATTTATAGGTGTATGCCCCTGCACCCAGCATAAAAAATTAGTTTTAAACTCTCTATGCTTACGTATTTTTAGTCTGTAAGATATTCAGAGGGTAATGTTGTATTTTTTTATTTTGGTGAACTAATAAAATAACATTTATTACATACTACTATGATGGTTTTTAAAAAAGAAAATATCCAAGCAGGAGTTCCTAGAATTGTTGTTACTGGTGCTCCCACCGGAAGAGGATGGTCTGAGATGTGCCACGGACTGTTTCTAGCGGGGTCTGAGGGTCAGTTCTCTTCTGGACTTCCTTTTATGAATATGTCTCTCTTTCTCCCAAAGATGAGTATCCTAGAGGGAGGGGTTTGCAAAAGATCACCTCTTTACAACTAAAGACTGTAAAATTCCCAAGCTAGTTAATGTTATGTAAGGGTCTAGACCAGTGGTGAACCTATGGCACATGTATGTTTCTCTTTTAAGACAAAAGATGTTCGTGTACGAGTTATTTTTTCTAATCCAAAACCTCGGTATCCAGGTTTAATTGCAGTGTTGGCACTTTGCGATAAATAAGTGGGTTCTGAGTTGCAATTTGGGCACTTGTCTCTAAAAGGTTCGCCATCACTGGTCTAGACTCTGAGAGGGATTTGTAAGGTGGTTAAAAATCTGTTTTCAAGTGAATTGTTTTTATTCTCTGAGATATTTCTCTTCTTTCATCCATCTGAACTCAAAGGCAGCAGGGTTCTTGACTGGGTTTCTTACTGTCTTCAGGTTTGGCTCTTTCCGGCACTAAACTGCCCTATATTATTGTCTATGGCTAGAGATTCACTCCACTGCCATGAGTAATGTTTGTGTTTGTGCAAAATTTAGGATAATTAAAAGTCAAATGCCATTTCACAAGTATTCCAAAACATCAAGCTAGTTATTAACCCAAAAGGATTTTGTAAGATATTCCTTAAAAGAGAGAAGGATTGCAGCAAAATCAACTAACCAAATAATATAAAAGCATTAAAGAAAATCATCACTTACCAAAGTGAAACTTCTGGACCGAGAGCTGCTGCTCCAACTCTCCAAACTCCCTCCTCTGCTCAAGTCACTGAGTCTGCAGCTGGGTGACATGTCCGAGTCCATCTCCAAAGAGTCTGATTTGTGGTGGTTGACAGGCATCCCCACAGAAACCTCAGATGCTGGCTTGCTCACAGGAAGAGGGGCAGGAGCCAGTATCCCATCCTGAGGCAGAAGAGTACTTCTAGAGAAATCAAGCAAACACTGACAATAGTTAGTGAGTCTAGTCAGTACAATGCTGTATTGGTCAGCTTTCTGTCACTGGGACAAAATACCTGACACTCAAAATTTTTAAAAGAGGAGAGGTTGGCCAGGGATTTAGCTCAGTGGTTCTGGTGCTTGCCTCGCAAGCTCAAGGTCCCAAGTTCAATCCTTGGCATCAAAAAAATAAAAGGAGAGGTTTAATTTGGCTCATGGTTTCAGAGGTTTTAGTTCATAATCCACTAGCTCCAAGGCAGAAACACCATGGTAGAAGGGTAAAGCAGAGTAAAGCTGCTCACTTCATGACAGTGGGAAAGCAGAGCACAAGGGAAGAGCCAGAGAAGCAAGGGCTAGGGACTAAATCTAGTCCCCAGGGTCATGCCCTCACGACTTGCTTCCTCCAACATGGCCCCATCTCTTCATAGCCCATTCTGCTATTAACTTGCCAATGGGTTAACCCATGGATGAGGTTAGTGACCTCACAGTCTAATTACCTCCCCTGTAGTCTCTTAATCCAAGTTAACAATCAAGATTAAGCAGCACAGGGCCAGGGATTTAGCTCAGTGGTTTCACCGCCTGCTGCGTAAGCGCTAGGACCCGAGTTCGATCCCCAGCACCAAAAAAAAAAAAAAAAAAGATTAAGCAGCACAAATGCCTTATCCACCAAAAACAGATGGTCAGCATGTGTGGTATTCATCCACATTCACAGACTCAACTATTACAGAAAAGGTAATCAGGACACTGAAAGACAACTTGTTTGGGGATGCTGGTTTGTTTCTCCTTCATACTGTTATCCACTCTGAAGATTTAAGAATAATTTTTAAGGAAAGACAGAGGTACTAAAACTTACTCTGGTGCTAAAATGACTCTTCTAAAATGATGCTTTGGGACCTTTTTTTTGCATGGAGGTTCTACATTCTCAGGCTTGGTCACACTCACACTCAGGCTTTTCCTGTCTTTTTTGCCTCAGGCACCACAAAACTGGCTCTTTTTCTAGCTCACTGAGGCTCAGAGTTAAGGTAAAGTGACAAAAACTAAGACGTTACCAATGGAAGTTTAGCTGACATCTTTAGGCTTGAGGACTCTTCGGAGACCTGATGCTATTGCAACTTCCACATAAAAAGTAAAGTACCCTAAGTTAACAGTTATCAGGAAGTTCATGTCTGTTTTACTTCCAGGATCAAAGACATCAAAAGTGTTCTCTCTAAGCTCCTTGGATTCATACTTTCCTTGGATCCCTTTATAGCAGGAAACACAGCTCATCTCCTGAACAACAACTGAGTTCAACAGAACATTCTAGAAGACCAAAAAAGAAATATTAATCAACAGGAGGTATTCAATAGACACATAGCCATCTGTGGCCTAATCAGTACTAAACACCTTTAGGGGGATCCTATCATTAACTCTTCAAAAATTATTGTGAAAACTTTCTTAAAAGAAATCCTGCAGACATCTAAAAACAGATTTTAAAAACTATTTTTCACTCCATTTCTCTTCACGTTTCAGGTGAATCACTACAGGTCAAATGGCAATTTAAGAGCAAGGTGATGGAACAAGAAGATTCTGAGAATGTACACTTTTTGTAAGTTATCATTATTCCAAATAGTTAAAAAAAAAAAAAAAAAGGAAGACTTAAAATGTTAAATAAATGCCTCAAATGGATCTCGTGTAAACACTCACTGTAGCCATACCAAGTATGCTGGCTGGAGCAATGCCTGGCAAAGGTAAATAGATGTAGTGCAGCTAAATCCTTGGGCCCCAGAAGAGCCAGACTAAGGTGGGACAGGCAATGTGGAGAAGACAGACTAATTCTTAAACTCTTCCAGATTTGCCAAATCCCACCCACTGACTCAGCTTGAACATTGAATCACTTCCCAGGAAAGGAGAGGGCTACTAGACAAAGAGTCTTCCCCTGCCCACATACACACCAGCGAGATGGAACATGGGAAGGGAAGTGCTGATTCACCACACAGCTCAGGAGCTGGGGCCCCAGCAGTTTGTGGGGACCTTCAGAGTTGTGCCAACGCTGAGCGGTGACAACAGCCCCTGGCAGCCCTCAGAGTGTGGCCAGATGGTGTCAACCTTTTGAAAGTACACCTTTTTCCTGTTTGTTATAACTTTAAAAGCTGTAAAACTATAATATTTAGACTGCTGAATGCAATTCTCTTGAAATAATATGAGGAAGCTAACCAGGATCTTCCCAAAGGTAGGGGTGGTCAGAATGTGAATCTTTGATCTCTCAAAGGATGGGGATTTTTGTGGTTTCCTAGAAACTGCAAATACGGAGTTGCATAGGAGGTCCACTGTCCAGCAGTTTTCTGAAGGGTAGGGCAAGAAAGCAAGCTTCTTCTCTTGTCTGTCCTGGAAAGGGACACCCTGGGACCAGGACACACGAGACACAGAGCAAACAGGCTTGGCGGTACTGACCACAGCTATGTCTATGAAGGTCATTACTACTTTAAAATATTCACTTTCCTCATCTAATCAAGGGTTCACTCTGGGTTTTCAAAAAGTGCACACTATGAAAAGTGAGACCAAGGTCAGGCCACATCAGCCTCATGGATCAAGAAGCTGACTGCTACCCAGGAGGAGAGTATGATTCACTAAGAAATCACAAGTTCACACGGGAAAAGCAGGAATATGAGGCTTGTGTGCTAATTTTCTTTTATTCTAATCCAGTTCCTGTGTTTATTTCACATTATTTCCTAGAAACAGCCTTCTTTTGGTAAAGTCTAGTTTACTGCTTGAACAAGAGAACAAAGTCACAGATGTCCCCATCTTAGTGAACCTGCATCTGCCCAGCATGTCTGGTCAGAAGGAAAGCAGCCACAGTAGAGGAAAGCCCCAGAAGACTTGCTAGGCTGTGGCAGTGAAGCAAATGGACCTTCTGAGGAAAGATGAACACCCAGGACCACTTACAAAATACTATGCTTTGTCCACCCTGGAGTGAGTGGATGGGACGCAGAAGAGAAAGGCAGCTCCTTTCACCTTCCCCTGGACATTCCAGAAAGAACCTAGAATGACCCACAAGGTATGCATAAAGCCCTCCTTCTGTCATCACTAACTCCATCCCAAACCACCACAGTCAGGTGTACAGCACAACCCAAGTAACTACTCTACGTATTCCCATTGTTTACCTGAGATCTCTGGGTTATTGAATCCCAGAGCCAATCTTCGCTAGTCCAAGGCCCTCAATAGGCCTAGGGACTTGTGGCCTCATCACACAAAGCTTTGGAGGCTGCTTTCAAGGACTCCTCCCTTCTTCTACCACTCATTCACACAGCTGCCCTTTACAAGGTCAGTTGTATCCACTTCCTTGCTGGCCCCACTCCCCAGGACAGGACCATGGCTCCCACCTGCACTGCTGCCACAACCATCGAACTATTCTCCCAGCTTCTTATTGTCTATACTCTCACTGTATTATTCTGCTGAGTTAACCTCAAAATACCACTTTCCTAAAAGCAATCATCTTTAATCCACTCACAGCAAGCTGCAGAATTGAAGTTTTATCATGCTTGCTCAATCTGAACTTTCCTCTTCCTTTCTAGCCTAAGCACGGTGTTTACCATTTTCCTACTTCACACTGAGCAGAGTCTCCTACTAGAGACAGACACCAATCCACTGGAGCACTCTATGCACTGCTTCTTCATCCAGGTGCTCTGTCAGAAGCTCTTTGGGACACAGACCCACACCTACTGAATACATTTATGGGTCAAAGCCTGCGTGTATGTATTTAGAAAGCTGATGCCGTATCTCATTGACTCTAATGGAAAACAGACATGTAACTAAGTTCAGTGCCACTGCAGGAAAAATGGAAGAGCAGAGGAGGGAGAGCTAACACTTTCACAGCAAATGAGGAAACCTAAGGCACGCCCTGAGAGAGAGTTACGATTTAAGGAGACTGCTGGTTAAATTCTGCTGCAAATTCCAAACAGAGAAAAGCAAATAAGCAAAGATATATACATGGCCTATTTGAACAATGGTGAATGAGAGGGTAAAGCACTGGCATTAGCTAAGGCACAAGGTACAAAATGAGTGGAAACAGATAGAGAGAAGTTCCAATGGAGGGATGTGGTAAACTGGACCAGAAGACTGAATCTTGAACTTCACCAATAGGTGACAGGGAGCCAAGGAGGGTTTATACCCAAGGAATGACACGATCATACATATAGTTTAGAAATCTGAAAATATTTAGGACAAGTGATAATAGAAATGCTACATATGAAAACGTATGGGATGCAACTAATGCATATAAATGCTGATATTTAGTGAACGAAGCATCTAACTTAAGTTATAAAAAAAATTAAGTGGAATAGACATAACAAGAAAACAAAGAACCTAAATTAAGTAAACAGAATAACATCTGCAGAGTGGGGCAGGGTCAAGGTGCGAACCTATAGATGAGGGCAGAACTGATGCTCCACTTAGGTGCTACTCTTGATCATCATTCCTCCAGCTTCCACTCCCAGAAATTTTGTGAAGATCGGTTCCAAAATCTAGAAAAAATGATCTTAGCAAAGAAATTACCTTTAAAGCTACACCCTGAAAAATTACAATATAATAATCTAACAGCCAAACATATTTAAGAAAATATGTTTTTCTTGACCTTCAAGAACATCAAAAATGAAAGAGCCCTGCCGTGGAAACTGTTTCTGAATCACCACAGCTCATTATCCTGAGTGGGCTTTTTCATATGGTTAAATAGTGGGTGAAAATAAAGATCAGTGAACACAAAACAGCCATTGTGGGTCTGCCTGCTGGTGGCTCTTGACAACAATTTGTTCATATGAACATGCAATGAGTGTTTTCTAAGTGACTTTTTCTAAGCACTTTGCTCTGGTTTGCTCAAAGGTAGGAGTCCTACTTTTACAGTTTCAAACTATTCTGTGGTGATTCCTGTTTGTATCTAAATATGTGTGTTAACAAAATTGAAAAAAAGTATTTTTCAGTGCTGAGTCTTGAACCCAGAGCCTTGCAAGTGGT